GAATCCATTTAGATATCAAACGAATAGTGATAGCTACAAAATAATATTGATTGATACTTACAAAATATGAAGGTATACATAAAACAGGCGGAAGTAGAAAGCTCAAGAAGATGGCCAGCGAGCAGCGTCTGTCGGTGCACAGCGATGGCCCGTACGATGGGTACCTAAAATGTATTAAATATAATTTCCAATAGCCAACAAGTCAGGCGAGTTTGGAGGAACGCCGCGTGTTTTATTGTACATAATGTCGGCCGCACGCGGCTAGAAACGCACGGCTATCTATAAAGTAGAAATTTAGCGAACATTTAAATTTTACTGTATTAAAAAAGTTTCCATAAAATTATGTGAAAAATAATAAGTAACTATAATCGATAATCGAAGCTCTTCGACCGACATCTTAAGAAACTCTCGCTAAACAGTTGGATTAAGGGCCCGATTCAAAAGGCAATTATTTTAGAAACCGCACGCATTGTGAGGATGTTCCTGTCTCTGCAGCCCTGACCACTGGTTACTTAAGTCATGGGACTCCGCAGCCGGTGGTGCTCCTTTTTTTTACATAATATGTATTATATTAATTTTTGTATTTATATAAATCATGTAAATTATATCATGCAGTAAATAAGCGAATAAAGATATATGGAATAAGTATAATCGTGACATTTTTCGTGAGTTTCGAAGTTACCAAAGTAATTTTTGTAACAAATATATCAAGCAAATCAACATTGAATCTCAGAGCAATAGAAGAATTAATAGCAACGGAAAATCTGTTCTTGACATGTTTCCACTCAATTTACTAGAGTTTGAGAAACGTACAACTAATTTCTTTGGTAAAAATAATGTGATTTTGAAATAGGATACAGAATAATATTATGAAAACAGTTTGTTTTCTTAAAACCAAAATGTTAGCGCCTTTCAAAAATCATGTTCCGTTAATTAATAGACACTGGTTCTGCAAACTTAATGAGAACTTGCTTTTTAGCGAATGCATTTTTCTAGAATGACTTACTTGATAGCTATATACCGCCAAATAGCTAGAGACAATGTGAGTAGGATTGAGGCAGTGTGGAGCAGCTGAGTGAAGTGCATATGGAAGAGCATGTACACCGCCCATGCGTACGGTCGCTCCTCTTGTTGTGGCAACAACTGCAATAGAATTGATGAACATACAAAGTCACATACACGTGAACGAAACATCACGCTGAACAAAAAACAAAGGATAGTATGAAAACGAATCAATAATTTAAGAAATTTATGATAGCAGACGCGATTTACCATTATTGTCTAATTTCGCGCTGTCAATTGTGAAAAAAAATCTCGTCGTTGACCGACTACAAAGTTCTCGCAAAGCTCTTAATTATCTCTTACTCTAGGCGCGGACTTTTATATCCCTCAGTCTTAAGGATTATCCGCCCAGCAAAGTGTATAAATATAAATAGATGAATAAAAAAATAACATTGAATCTATCTCTGATTAAGAATGGATAATTGGGTTTGCGCATTAACTATAACCTATTCTACTTACCATATATCTATAAATGGAGAAGGGCACATATTCTATCATGACAAAGACATCAGCGACAGCAAGCCACTTTAGCAGTCGATTTATAGGGGCGGCGGCGAGGTCCCGCCGCGTCAGCACGGCTACATTGAAAACGTTGGCTAAACTACCGAATAAACAAATCTGAAACAGTCAATAAATTTTCGAACTGTTGCTCTCGTTCCAAATGATCGTTAATCAGACAGTGAATATAAAAAATAGAATAATCAACACTAACAAGAAGCATATGTTTAGTAGTCAAAACTTAGAGTGGGCGCACACGTTTGACTAAACTATTGGACAACTGTTGTGCGATTGTCTATTTCGCAGCCCGTTCAACAGTCGAGTACAACTGAAAATCGAGTAGCGTGCACTTCCATATAAGCTTATAGGAATATATGCGCTACTAAACAGTTGTCTGATAGTTCATTCAAATATGGGCACTCTTAATATAGTTAAAATAAGTCATAAAATCTTACCAGTAAACTGACGTAACCATGAATAGCGTTGTACCCGAGGACGATGTTACGGAATTCACCAGAACAATAGTCCGATCGATCGCATTCTTTGATAACAGTTATATTATATCTGTTCCTCCAATCTTCTAAAGTCCTTAGTAGCTCGCTGATCTTTAAACTCTGGTTGTTACCGTGTTTCAATATAGACATCAATCGGTTATCATCGAACAGACTGAATGTATCGTCGAGAGCGCCACTGTCGTATCTGTGACGGGAATCATCATCAGCCAGCATGTTGACGTTGGCACAAATTTCATAAATTTTTATTAATGATTATTTCCATGTCCATAGTTTTCGTTGTGTAGGGATTGCTGTCCGTATTTTCTGAAATAGAATATTATTATGTGTAAAAGAACTAATGTTATAAACATAAAAGTATGGATATGTATTTATGAATTCTATTGATGACGTTTTTACCTTTGACTAAAATATCGCACAACTGTTGTTCGTTTGTCGATTGTTTCGCATTCAATTCAATTGTTTATTTGCACTAAAAATCGATTAGTGTGCACAACTCTATATAAGCTGATAGGAATCAATTCGCAACTAAACAATTGTGCGAATGTTTAGTCAATGGTATATGCGCGCCCATCTTCTGAACAGGATGAACAGAGACAGATTTCTTTTTCCGGAATAAATCAAAAGAGCTGTCATTTTTAACTTAGTTTTTATTTAATACCCTATAGAAATTGCTTTTGACAACTAATAGAAAATAAAGTTTATCTTAACTCTTTAAGATCATGAAAAAATATTTTGAACTGTGGTTTCAAATAATTTAACTCATTTAAATAAGTATTGTTTTTTGTCGTCAATGCTAATTCATGTTTTTAGCGTAATTATTCTAACTCTTGGGTCAGTAACAAAAAATGTTAAATAATAGTACAAAAAAACATTAACAAACTCACATACATACTTGCAAACGTATTTATTAAACCGCGAAAAACATTATTCTACTATCAGTCAAACAAAAATATAGGTACTGGTTTTCGCCTGCGACGCCCTCCACGTGAAATTAAATAAAAAACAAAAGCATGCCTATGAGTTCTTCCACACTATTCTCTACATCTGTGCTAATTTTCATCGATAAACGTTCAGTATGTTATAAACTCTAACCAAAATCCATTCATCTAACAAAACTTTCGCATTTATAATATTACTAGCTTTCACCCGCGCCTCCGTTCGCATGGAATTAAAAAAAAAGTGAGTAGGCTATGTGTTCTTCCAGACTATCCTCTACATCTATACCAAATTTCATCGAGATCCGTTCAGCCGTTTAGGCTACAAACACTAACTTAGTAGTAGGATTAAGAAGTATAGATCAGAGTGGGGGTCCTGATAGACTATCAAAACGATCCCAGGAAGACGGTAACCTAGAGTGGTCCTTTCTTGCCGTAACATCGGACCCACAGGGAGAGTCTGAGTGCCGAAGGTTCCGGTACCGAGAGGGTTTTAGTAGTTGAAATCCTACATAACCCTACCTTCCCCCCAGAACGCAGGGTATCTTTTGAAGATTTCCCCCCGACACCAAAAAAAAAAGGATTAAGAAGTATAAGATTAGTAATTTCCATAATTAGAAGTTATGAAGAATGTCTACCAGAGATACGTTTAAATACCAAACAGAAACTTCCTTTGGGAAGTTTATAACTTGGATGATATTTAAACATTTTAATATACCAAACTTAATTTAGTACGACCAGACAGTTACAAAGTCGTTTTAATTAGCGATGTTTCAACTTGAACCTATGTATTTAAAGAATTCTTTTTGTTATCATTCTTATTTGAAGTTTTTACTTATACACAAATTATGCAAATATTGTGAATGTGAAAGTTTAGATGGATGGAGGGATGTTTGTTAGAGTTTGTAGCCTAAACGGCTGAGCGGATTTCGATGTAATTTGGTATATATGTAGAGAATAGTCTGAAATATAGACGTCGCGAGCGAAAACTAGGGTAACATAAAGTAAGTACGTGGCTAAGTTACGTATTCGAAGATGTAAGCAGGCCCAGCTGGTTGTTGTCTTATAGATACATAAAACAAATACAAAAGATACCCTTGCAGTGAGAATATTTTATGCATTCTCGAAAAAACATCATTTTACTTAACGCATACGATTACTTAATTTTATAATTTTCCACTAATTATTTATTATTACTTTTATATAACGCTTGTAACATTTTCAATCGATAGCATTTTCTATTAATACGTTTATTTTCTACTAGCTGTCCCCGTGCGACTTCATTCGCATAATATTATGAAAATTTTATTTAGTGGTTTACATGTGTCAAATTATCATTTGCAAATGTCAAAGTGACATGATATTATGACAAACCATGGCAACCTTGCTTCCTTGATGTTGGCAGCAACTTATGGTCTCTTTCCCACATTAGGGTTTTTATCCAAAATATTTACTCCCTAAGTTTAATGGCGTGAAAATATATAGCCTAAAGCGTGACGTAAGTGTAGGGCTTTTCATTAAAAAAAGTATTATTCAAAAATATGCTGTAATTGCTGACATCTTAGGCAACAAAGAAGTGTGTGTTTACGCTTTATTATAATAGTATAGATTAATGTTAGAAACAGCAATATTTGATGTAAAACATAAAACAATAACATTCTACATAATGGTCATTAATTACCTCGTGTAGTTTCGATGTTTCGTAAACTACAAAATTCACTTGTTCATCAAATTTAATTTTCAGTCAGTTAATGTAATTTAATAATCAGTCAATTATATAATACAAAATATAAGCAAATGTAGAATATATAAACGCAATAGTAACTATGATACATAGATTTATTGAATAACAAAAAAAAATCGCTTTGTGTCTTTTCGCAAAAGTATCGGAACATGGTTCTTATTTTACAAAAGTCGTGTCTTCTGAGTAACAATTACTTATAACTTTGCGTCAATTTCAGACTGAGGTCTTGTTATTTGTTACACCGACTGCCCAAAAGAAGGAGGTACTCAATTCGTATTCGTATATATAAATGATGCACAAACTTCAGTTCAAGATGTTAAAGCAAAAAAAAAATGTTTTATAGCTACCAACTTTTCAACAGTTAAAATAATTGTTTTATAAAAATAGTTAAGAAGAAAACGGTCGAAATTAATCGGTAAAATACGTTAGAGTCTCACAAACATATTTTATAACTAGGTATTTGAGATGAAATAATAATGACAGGTGATGTATACCTTAGAATTTGTAAACCTTTAACAACAACTACATTAACTGCCGAATTCAGAGTCCTTAATTGATCATTAATGAAGATACTTAATGACTCTTAGTACGGCCGTTAGACAGTAAAGAATGTTAAGAATTAAAATTGGGTCAACATCGAACGGTCGACCTCAGCTAAACAAAATGTAATTGTGTAAAAGCAATAAAATTGATGCAACCATTAGAATTAGGTCGCTTTGTAATCAAAAAGTATTGCGAATTTAATTCGTCGTACTCACGGCCGAGTCACAAATGCGTGAGAGATTTATGATTCCCACCCAAGGACCTGCTTACCCATTAACCTATTTATCACCTACAAATGACTGTATTTATGAACTCGGAATATCTACTACGGTTAAATGATGTTCTAATAAGGTAATTAAAATGTGCTGAAGTCTACAACTATACCAGTGATTTTTAAACTTTTTATTTGTTGCGGCACATATTTAACGATTTCAAAATTTGGCAGCACACATAGAAAAAGATAAAAATTACTTACTGCAACACACTACATAAATAGTTTATGACAAAATTATGAAAAATTTGGCGGCACAAATAAGTGCCACGGAACAATGGTTGAGAATCACTGGACTATACAAACAAAATATTTCAATCTACAGTTTGCGAACGTATTTTAAATAAATGTTATTTAATTTTATAAACATGTTATGTTATAAACAAGGTCATACGAGTATTACAACTTTCGGAATTAGTTACATTGAAAATCATACTTCATACTAATATTATAAATGCGAAAGTCTAGATGGATGGATGTTTGCCTAGACGGCTGAACGGATTTTGATGAATTTTAGTATAGATGTAGAGGATAGTCGGGAAGGACGAATAGGTTATCCAATTTTGTTTGTTTTTTAATTCACGGGCGAAAACTAGTGTTTAAATAATATTTTTGTACATATTATAAGATCAAATATTATTAATACGTTTAAAGTATTATCGCTAGATGGCTTTATAAGCTACAAAGGTATTAGGAGATAAATACAGATTGAAATTCAAATTAAAAATATCATTTATAATTTTGTTAATAATATGTGGATAAAGCCACTCAACGGAAAACCCGTCTGCAAATATTTTATAAAAATGTTATCGCAGCAATAACCACATGTATTTGTATAACTAATATAAATATAAACATTTTAATTTGTCTTTGCTATTTATCGAGGCGTGATTTTGAATTTTAAATCCAGACGGTGTCAATATTTTGTTAACTTACGTGTTAAGAAGTAATGATAACAGAATGTACCTAATCTGTGTATTTGCACCTTTTAAGAATACAAGTCTTTGAAAGACTTATCCTTCTAAAGTCGAAATGTTCATATTTGTGAGTGTCACTTGAATTTATGAACAACTTTTTTGTAAAAAATTGACAAAATTAAGTAGGCAGTAAGCACATAGGCATGTGTTCTTCCAGATTATGTGCTTACTGCCTACTTATTACTACTTATTTTCTCTATATCTGTGTAAAATTTATCGAAATCCGTTCAGCAGTTCAGGCTGCAAACTCTTACGAACATCCATCCAAATTTTCGCATTTATAACATTAGTGAGATACCAAGTTTTGCCAACATATTATTTATGCGGAGTGCAATGAGGTTGGCCACGTATTACGTGCATAGTCACTTTAGTTTACTAATATCATTAACAATAACAGTAGCAGATCCCGTTTTAACATCTTTGCACGAATAAGCCGGCTCTCCCCGTGTAATACCATGACCTCGCAGAAAACAGGAGTGAAGTGAAAGCAATTCCGAGTTTCGTTTGAAGTCCATTTCTCCTTCAACCCTTTTCTTATGTGGAAAGGACGGGAAGGAAAAGTGGATTTGACGGTGGAGGAGACGCATTGGAAGGGGAAATGTGCTCTTTATGTGCTTCTCCTTCTCCGTCAATTAAGGGTAGGCGATTCATCTGCAATTGCGGATGTTTATGGGCATCGCTAGCTTTCCATTTCGGTGGATTCAGGTGGCCACTTACTCGCTTGCCAACTTATATTATAAAAAAAATAGTAGAGTGTAATAGTTTGCAGGTTCAGAAAACATTAACGCATCGAAATATTTCCCAAGTAATTCTATGACGAAACAATTAAATTA